TGGTCTCAGAAATTGGGGTGCACATTAGAATCAGGTACAAAGTTCACTCAATTTACATTATCATTTTACATTATTTGCTTTCCAACCTGCTTGGCAATTTTCACGTCTTACAACATCAGTAGAAACATGTACCATGTCCTTCTCACTACTTCAGTTTTAATTTTGGTTTTGGAACAGTTTAATGACCTTTTGAACTACAGCAAGTTAATTAGGCTGTGTTTAAGCAGAGCTATCCACTATGCTGAGGAACATGAACCTATCTGTACACATTAGATATTTCAGTGTGATACTAAGTATATGGTAACTTTCAAGATTGTACTGTACATACCAATGTGAAATCTTGCTGTTAAAATTTTAATTGTATAGTAATTTTGACTGATTTTGTACTGGTCCATAGAACTTCTGTATCTGATAATGGAGTCATAAATGAACACATTTAAAAATGTGATCATAATGAAGCGCCGTAAACACAATGATTTTCAAAAAAATTCTATTATTTCAAACTAGTCAAAAAATTTTTATTACTGTTTAACTATATTAACTTTTTGTGGCTGCATTTTAAATATAGTGTGTGCATTACAGTGGTGTGCCATCATTAGAAGCGGTGGAAGCACCGCTTCCCTTGTATTTTATAAAAAATAAATACATGTTAATTTTAATTATATGAAAATAATCGCACAATATTTCATTATAATCGCATTATGTATCTTATTACAAATTTCTATACTACACGTCAAAAAAAGATAAGATTGCTATGGTATATTCGAATATTAGTGGCGGAGTAGCGGAGTGGAAACGCTGTACTGTCAGCATCCAAAAAGCCGGATTCGTGCATGCGCTTTACAGAGCATCAACCTCACCCAGTTTAACCGGCGGAAGCCTAGGACCTTGGGTGGATGCTACACGTATAATGCATCCAATTCTATCCAGGACCGGTTCTGGGCTGTTAGCCGCCCACCCGCTAGATATTTGGCCGCCCTCGCCCGATTACGTCAATCACAAGTAGATTTATAACTTAACCCAACCGATAAGAATTTACCTGTATGTTTTTATGATAGTTTTCTGTATAGTTGACAGGNCGGTGGAAGCGCCGCTTCCCTTGTATTTTATAAAAAATAAATACATGTTAATTTTAATTATATGAAAATAATCGCACGATATTTTATTATAACCGCATTATGTATCTTATTACAAATTTCTATACCACACAAGGAAAAAAAAATTGCTATTGTATATTCGAATATTAGTGGCGGAGTAGAATCTCTGTATTATCAGATTCCAAAAAGCCAGATTCGCGCATGTGCTTTACAGAGCACCAACCTCACCCGGTTTAGCCGGTTGAAGCCTACGACCTTGGGCTGATGCTACACATATAACACTTCCAATTCTATCAAGGACCGGTTCTGGGCTGTTAGCCGCCCGCCCGCTAGATATTTGGCCGATTACGTGAATAACGAGTAGATTTATAACTTAACCCAACCGATAAGAATTTACTGGTATGTTTTTACGATAGTTCTGTATAGTTGACAGGAGTTAAAAAAATCCATTAAAATATTTGATATATTTATTCCGCTCTCCGATTTTATATTACTCACGGATTTCGATGTTAAACCAGTGATATTACGATTTCGTACATCCCATCTTTAAGGGGATGTAGAAAAAAACGTGTACAATTCTTGTATAATGTTAAAAAATTAACCGTTACTTCGACAGCGTCATTTACAACTAAATTTAATGAATGAGAGAGATGCACCAGGTACAGAAAAGGCTCTAGAATTTATTTTCCTTAAATTTACGATTTATGTATCCGTTTGTCATAAAAATTTGTCTTTCCACTTTTTCCCCAGACTACAAATATTCGAGTACAAAGTAACCGGTTTCGACTTATTTCTACTTAAGAAGTAGTTAAATAATTAAGCGATTAGGGAATTGGGGACATAAACAAAACCCTGATGAAAGAGCCGGAATATTACTTAAACAAAAGCTTAACCGAACCAATCTATAGCCGAGTACAGTGGGGACTGATTTCTTCGAAATACTGTATTAGATGTAATAAAGACAGAAATTTTTCCAGTTCGACGAGAGTGACCGAAAAGTTGTAAATTTTGGAAATTTCCGTGGACAACACCTGGTCCTAAAACGAATTAGTTAGAAAACAAATGACGGACAATCTATTAAGTTTAACATATTTAGATTTTTACAGCTATGGTGAGAAACGTTTAAAATCTACAACAGCCCTGTCGCGTCCTTTGAGATATACTAGTGATGCGACAAAAGAGGTATTTGACATTGACCGGTATCGGCACCCTGGGGATTTGGCAGTCCGCGTGTATGCACGCTCTGCAACCGTCTTCGATTCCATCCATTAGCCACTCGTAGGGAGCTATTTGACTAAGTGCATTGTTTTAAGATTTAAAAAGTAAAGAATATTTTATATTTTTATGTACGTTTCTTTACAAAGCTATATTTAATTATAATTTTCTTTAAAAGTATATTCATACAATTGAAGAATATTTTGTACCAGGTATGTACCGGTACATCCACCACACATTTTATTTCACCAAGTAAGTTTTTATTATTTTTAATCGTAGCCCTTATATTGTGGCTAGCGGTTCGGAATGTAATTGTGATATTAAAAATGCATTTAGAGGAGTCTACGGTTTTTACTGGCTTATCAAATAAACGATACGAATGGACCCTAGACCATCACTGACACGCAATTGACTGACTGCCCCTGGATGTCAGCTTCTTACAGAAACACAGCTTCCCTATTATCAAATGTCATGACACGCCCCTGGTGCATTACATTCAATGGCACATTATAATTGAGAAAGGTGATAAAATCACTAAAAATTCAGGGTGATAAAAAAAATATTTGTTTTGATAATTGAATATTTTTAAATAACTTTTACATTAATAAACAAAAATTAAAATATTAATAATGCTTATTATTAAAAACAACATTTAACAAATTTTTTCTTCTAAATTTTAATAATTGTAAGATCATAACCATTTATTCACAATTGAGAATATAACTATTAAATTTCAGTATCAATTAAGCTTAGTTTTGTATAAATTTTGGATATTAGACACAAATTACATTTTTTCCAAAATTTGGTTATAAATTTCCTGTATAAATGTTTTTAATATGAAAACAGTTTATCAGAAAATTATATATTCTGGTACAGTATATCATTTAATATATAAATTATACACAAATACAAAATCATAACACATTTCATACTGCTGCAACTGAATACAGTGCATTAAATGCTATTTTCAGTTGTATATTCTACATTGGTTTTTTTAAAATATGAATCATGATTTGCAAATGATGTGTGTGTTGGAAACTAAAAATTTCATATTTTTAGCATCATCCTTTGAAATGTAGTATACTATACCACTGAAAGCATTTCAAAATAAAATTTTAATTTTACATAAAACTATAAACATAGTACAGATATAGTCTACAAAATTTGACATTTTCCTGTAAGAACTATTTTTAATACCCAAACATTAAAGAATGTATGTATATAGTCTTTATATTTTTATATCAATGTTTGTATAAGAAAAATTTATATTGAAGTCATAACAACTCAATACATTTTTTAACAAAATGTACAAGAGAAGTCTTAAGTTGCTTTCTGCCTACAGTATTGGAATGCCAGAATCATATGTAATGTTCAAAAAGAAAGAAAACAAATACACTAACTTTCTGTAAGCTTCAAATATCTATCTCACTTTAACTAGATTCACACTAATGCAGTTTCAGTATATAATTTAGGTCATGACATTTTGAGCAAGTTGGAAAATGGAATAAATCAGTTTTCTACACTGAGAAAATTTCAACTCAATCATTGCATGGAATTATAATCCACATGACTTTTCAGGTGTCTACATGACCCACTATGCACAGTTTCTCTGTAGCAAGAATGTAGCATGTAAAAACTACTATTGTAATAGTGCAAATCAGCATTTAAGAGACTGAATTCATTACAGGAAATTGCCTTGTGATAAATTTTTTGTCTGCTTTTTTTCTTAACAAATTTCTTTGCTGTTGAATTTTTCTGCCACTGTATTGTAAACAATGTTTATGGTACAGTATACAAATTATAATTTTTTTAATTACCACAGTAAATGTTTGGTAATTAGGAAGCAATGTTTTAAGCATTTTACACCTTAATATTAAACATGGTAAGAGAGAGAAATAATCTGTTAATTATTTCTCTCTCTTACCATGTTTTAATTATATTTTAGAAAAAGATCAATTGAAAGTTTTGTATTGACATTTTAACACGCCATAATTTTCCCAATTTAAAATAGCCAAGAGTCTATTTTCCATTGATGCTTTTGCACAGAATAACTGATTTTCAGATATGAATTAATGATGTTAAGAAAGGAATGCCTGTACTTATTATTCTAGCGATTTATCAATGGTCTTCAGACCACATCAAGCTATGTTAGAGTCCATGACAATTCATCATCAGATATATTCAAGGCTGCTGTTATTACAATTGGCTATTAAAAAACCAAATGTAACAATGACAACTTTTAGTCTTGGCTGGTCTGAAAAAGTTATTCACAGATAAAAATGGCACACGAAAACTTTTCAGAAGACTTAAACCACTCAAAAGTTACAATATTTTGTTGTGGAAATAAATTTCAATCTTTCTTCTATTCAAGTGGAAAAAGTCAATTATCATTCATGATCATTTCTATTTATTTAAATATATTCAGTCAATAAATTCTATACTCTAGGTTGGAGATTTTCCAAGTATGTATTTCTTAGTGATAAAATGAGCTTTGTGAGAGTTTTGAGATGAGAGTATTTCCTTTCAACTCAAATAATCATTTAGACAGTAACTATTCAGATATTTGATATACCATTTTACTGCAGAACTCAAATTTCTGAATAATAATTGATTTGAAAAATTTTGTTCTTAGTGTAAATGATAAAATGAAGTCATTGGAAACAACATTCATAGCCAAATTAAAATTACACATTAAATGCTATATAAAGAATATTTATATATATAAATTTTATACTCACTGGACCCATTATAGTAGCTTGCCAATGGAATACTGAAATAAAGAATATAAATCATTAGAATTTATTCTTAAATTCAAAACACTTATAAAAAATAAAAATAATTTCATTTGAAAACATCTACATAATAAAAATAGCTATTTTATAAAACTTTAAAATAAATGAATTTACAAGTAAATAGTATTTGGATGCAAAAATCATCTTTGAATAAAAATTTACAAATATGCATAATTTAAATTTATTAGTACATGGGTATACAGATAATCCCCAACTTATGATGGAATTATGTTCTAGGATTCTCATTGTATATCAAATTGGTTGCAATCTAACAAATATTAATAATGGGGGAGAGTACTCAAGACTGTACTTAAGCCTGTATAATATCATATATGTGTGTGCACACGCACACACACACACACACACACAGTGAAATAAACCTAATGAAAGTGTTCAAAAGTGATTTTGTCTTCCACTTGGAAGGATCAGTTTTTCTGGAAGGTGCCAGTTCAGTGGGAGGCATAATTAGCAAATTAGTCAGGGGTCCCAAACAGGGATGACCTGAATGAATGCTACTGGCCCAACTCTGGAGTGGACAATCATTAGACCTGGAGATTCTCTTAAAAACAAGAAACCACAAAGAAAAGAGGACTTCCAAGAGAGAGCAGAAGGAAAGTACACAGGAAACCTCGCCTGGACTGCAAAGGGGAGGGAGAGAGAGAAAAGTTATGTTTGGATGCTGTATGAACTCATTTCCTGGTGCAACCTGTATATATGTGTAGAATAACAGACTGACTAGACTATTAAAACTCAGGTCGTAAGAGGCCTTTCTGGTGAACCATAACACTCATAGTGGAGAGGAGAAAGACCTCTGACCAAGACTTCTCTCAACACAGGATATTTAAACTTTACTTACATATATGATATATTGTAATCAGTTACTATGTGTATATAACATAATACAATATAGCAATAATTTGGATATATTGCACTTAAAATCAGGTAGTCAACCACACTGACTACTAAAAGTCATATTTTGGAGTACAACAATTTTTGTGAGGATTTAAATTTTTATTGTAAATTTTTTTACTTTATTATTAGTTCGCTTTAATCTTATTATAAAATTAATATTACAATAATAATCACAGACTCGAAGATCTACAGTAAGTTACTTTCTTACTTTTTGGTTACCAATGAAACAAATCAATGTTTTAGTTAAACATGAATATACACATGTGAGATAAAACATGAATATGCAATATATTTATTGACCATTACATAGTTGCATTTAACAAGTCATTATTTTATCATGCAAATAACAACAAGTGTGAATGAGTGTCTAGAATAGAAAATTTTTTACACACTAGTTTCAGCTGTCATAACTCCAGATGACTGAAAAGTGGGAATTGATTGTATGAATTAGTTACCTATAAGACGTTCTGAATTTACAACTTGTTCAAGAAAATCTAATTTACATCTGCAATTTCATTTTCAACAACAAATTGATGTAGATTTAATGAAAAATTAATTATTATAATTATTATTACTTTTTAATTTTCATTGAATGTCAATTACAAATTAAATATTTCTTTAATCATTATAATGCAATATATCAAACTGAATAATCATAATAAATCATTCTAACACAACACTTCAAATAAATGTTTATTAAAATTATTTTTATACATAGAGTAATCAAAAATTATAGAATTACTGATTATAGAAATTATAGAATTACTGATAAAGATTTAGGCTTATTGTCTTACATTTGTGACAAAACACTAAAACAAGACAAAAAGAAATTCTACAGTCATTTACTTTTAAAAAATTAATATTTTTAGATATTTCCATTAAAGTGCATTCTTACTATTTCAAAAGTGTTCTTTTTTCTGCCAAATGTTACAGCAAAAAATTATCAAATTATTTTTAAAAACAAATTTGTGCAAAATGTATAGTATATACCAGGGGTGGCCAACCTGCAGCTTGCAAGCCACATGCGGCTCTTTGAAGGATTATTTGTGGCTCTCGATAAATGTACCTGAGTTTTCTTTTCATTTTTGTGTTATTATATTTTAAAAAATTATTATCGTTCCGTATGTGTTTCAAAATGTCTTTTAAATTACTAACAACAAATATGAAAGACTAAGTGCAACGTTGTAACAAATTTCATTTCCGTCCAAGTTAAGAATGATATGACTCATCGAAAACTGCGCGAACGAACATAAACAGTGGCGTAATCGTCCGTTATCGACCGACTCCAGACCAATTTTGAATTTGTAAACTGTCATTGCAATGGACAGTTGACATTGTGCTCTGGAGGAAACAATTTGTATCACTCTTGCTACGGATATAATTTGCAATCTGGAATTTTTGCATACCTTTTTAATACGTATTTAATTGCGGCTCACGAAAAATTTCAAATTTTGAAAAATGGCTCGGACTATCAAGGAGCTTGGCCACCCCGGGTATATACTTTAAAATATATATACTGAACAAATTATAAAAAAATCTTTGAATAAGTATTAACTATTCTCATGCTTTCTTAAAACCAAAAACATTCCTTGCTAACACAATTTATCATCACTTTAATGTATTCTTACTATCCAATGCATAAATAGTATTTCCTCTGTACAATGTTTATTTCAAGCATAAACAAGAAGTTAGTTCAAATTAAATATAATATTTAAATTATTTCAAGTATAATTCTCAATTAACAGCATTTTAAAATGGAAAATTCCTCAAATTAAAATGATAATGTTTCTGTGGCCAAAGGATATGTTTTGTGACCGAACAATGATGGGAACTCCTTTCATTAACAATACAAATACAAATAAATACAATTGATGAAACTAATGGATCACCATTAAAATATTTTTGAATAGAGGAACAAGGAAAGCCAATAATAATAGAAAATATATTGTTAAATGAGCAATTATTTTATTGTGACATCGTCACAATGCCAGGCTGCAATTTTTAATCATATTTTTAATTTATTTAATTTAAAATATATGCTCTCAACCTCAAATTAGTAGTGTTTTGCCCCTGTACATCATACTTTCCTGCCAGCAATAGTCATGCCAGTTATCTAACTCCTTTAAGGGGAAAATTTTTGAATTGAAATAATGTTACTTCCAGTGCAAACCGATAATAGTTCATATATAGTTAATCAGAGCCTCCTGCCCCTAAGCTTTCCATATCTGGCTTAAATTTTCATTTAACTCCGTTTTCAAGATTAAGGAAGAACAGGCAGATAGAGAGAATTTACAGGTCTTACAATTTTTTCAAATTGCAGCCCAATCATCTTAAACTCAGGTGCACAGCACATGCACAAAATGCTTTTGGTTTCAAGATAGCAGGCAATAACTGTAAAACACTAACTGCCTCTAAGAAATTTAACATCATTCCCATTTTTATGAATACAAATTCATTAAAAATTTCAGAAAGAAATTTTTAATTTTTAAGAAATTCATTAAAAATTTCAGAAAGAAATTTTTAATGAATTTCTATAATTAATTAATAAGTTATAGTGTATAATTTATTAATTAACTATAACAAATTGTCTGTAGTCCTTTTCTGACTTCAGTTTCTTTATACATAACCCTGCTAACCAAAACTTTCCACTGAATTTGAATCTTGTACAAGAATTAGTTTGGATTAATGAGAATGCACCAATAATTTTTCAAAATTAATTATATATTATGTAATATTACAGTATATTAAATTGTGTTTCTTGATTGCCATGAACCAGAATTACAAGAAAGAAAAATCTCTAAATTTGAAATACAATAATTTTAAACTGAGAATAAATCAAGGAAATTTATCTATCATAATAATAGCAACTCTCTCGCCAGTCACAACCTTGCTAAGGTGAGAAAGCTCAGTAATTCTGATAAACAGTTATATCAGCTGGAGCATCTGCTTCTGCTAGTGACCTTAACAGTGACCCATGCTAGTGAGGTCAATGGAGAGAAATGAAGCCAAGAGTGACTGAAACCACATCTGTGGATATCTAACCGTGGTGTAATACCAGCTCAGACATTGCCTGGATTAACAAGGTCCATGCTCATGAGATGTGTAGAAGTTTGTGTTTGAAAAATATGTCACAGTCTCCATGGGCCATCAGTTGTGAAAGCAGTATTGGTCCAAGTATAAATATTGCAATGCCCACACCAGTTGTGGAAAACCAGTTTCTGAGGCAATCCAGCCACAGAAGCATGTAAACCATGCCAAAGGATGAAATGGACATCAAAAATGAAGTAGTAACATCCTTACTATACCATTACAAAACTTGACAGATATGATAGCATACAGACAACTGTTATATCACTTGTTTTCATAACAATATCATCTCACTATCACTGTATAAATGGTGTAAAAAAACTGCATCCTTATACCACAAACAAGACTAGAACATATTAAACAATAAATCGCAGAACAATTACATCAACAAACAAATACTCCAAACATCAACAATGATCAAATCATCATTCAGAGTAAGATGCATGCATTGACAATACTGTTTCTACCACCACTATTTTCACTGATGCTGACAATATCAGCACATCTTTATTACCTGAAATAGATTCAGGTTTAATTCATACTCTCCTTTTCCAGGAAGCATTCACTAAATTTACATGCATTGACCCTGCATAATGGCCATGCATTCCCAAAATCAACACTTCTAAACTACGAGGGCTATTTTTTAAATAAAGTCCATTTGTAAATGAGTGAGAATGACACGCAATTGCAGCAGTGTGCATGAGCATCTGCTTTCAGTATGCTTTGTGCATGTTTAGATGCCATTTGCAGCCATATCGTCTGTCTGTGTGATGAACTGTAGAAGTTTATAATGTTTAAGAAAATTGAGTCGCCTACTGACTAAGATTAGATCTGTTATTAGATTTCAGCACAAAAGATCATGGTAACTGTCTTTTGGGACAGGAAAGGGTCTTTGTTAGTGGATTTTATGCCAAGAAGCACAACATTCAATTTTGATGCTTATTGTGATCTTGAGAAAACTCCGCTGTGCCATACAAGA